CCGACACATGTGTTTCGACCTTACAGTCTCGTCAGTCGAAAATCGTGGTTCTTCAGTCTTTTTGGCCAATCCTCTGTGGATGCTACAGTCCTCATACTATTTGGTAGCGAAGACAGACGGGCTGTACAAGATTCATACCAAACCACATGACATGTTGCTCAAGCTGAAATTTGACCACGGACCTCCTTCTGTGAGAGATCCTGCCCTTTTAGTCGCAAGGTCACGTGGCGCGTCCCCACATGCTGGATATGGGGGATAAACGAAAACCAATAGCGGCCGTGTGCTTCCTAGAGGCGCAAGTGGATTTAGGGGATGAGCTCCCTGCTTCAGCAGCGCCGATTTGTCAAAACTTTATATCTACAAGTCAAGTCGGCCAAAAGCTTGCAATCAAGCGGCTGGGAAGTACTTGAGAGGCGGTCAGGAGTCGCCCCCAACAAATAAGCTCCTCCTGCTCCTCCGAGAGAGACTGGCAAGCTACTCGTGAGTACCCACCCCCCACGTTTAGAGCCTGGAAAGCTGTACGTTTTGTATCAAAATGCCAAAAACAGTAACAAATAAGGGCCTCATTCCCCTGACCGTTAAAGAGCCCCAGTACGGCAGCGCCAGTAGAACGAGTACGGAGAAGCAGCTAAAATCTGAGGATCGATCTGGGCTGCCAAAATCGAAAGGGACTATAATGATGGTCCGCATCTACAATGCAATAACACCCGCTCACGAATGCGCTATAGAAGATCTATTGATTCAAACAAGAAGGATAAGGTACGACGTCATCGGCCTGGCTGGCACGGAAGACGCCACCTTTTTCACGCTGTTTATGACACCGGAGAAGAACTGTTCCTAGGAAATTGCGATAGCAGATGTGTCGGCGGTGTTGGCGTCCTCGTCGAATCGAATTTGACCGTGAGCATCGATTCATTCAAACAACTAACAACTCGTACCGGACGATTGCAGTTGAAAAGATGTGAATCAATGCCGGCTTTCATCATCTTCGTTGCTTACGCATCAACATCAAGCTATGGCGGAGACGAAGTTGAAGCTTTCTGTGTGGGCCTTGAAAAGTTCTTTGGAGAAGAACATACATTGTTCAAGATCATTGTAGGAGATTTTGAAACAAAAATTGGGCTTAAAAGAACTCCTAAGGAACGCCACATTGAGGCCGTAGACCACATATTTGTAAATCAAAGGTTTTGCCTGACCGATGTCGCTTTTGTTTTTAAGTTCTACACGGGATCAGACCATCGCCTCCTTTGCGCAACGTTTCGTTTTTCGCTGAAGGGAGAGAAAGCCGCTATATTAAAACAACGAAGTCCTAGAACTACCATAAACTGAGATGCATTCACATCGTTAGCCGGCTCTTGGGAAGATGCCGTTGTGGACAGCAGCGACGAAGAATGCGACCGGCTCGTAGAATATCTTCACGTTAGCGCTATGAAAGTCTGGAGTCGTAAAGCCACGAAGAAACTCTTGTGTCCGCAGACACTTAAGCTGGTACGTCCACGTAAAATCGCACGAGCTGCAGGCAACTGAATCCTCACGTTTAAACTTGCGGAACGGTGCAGGGGAGCGATGAAAGAAGACTTCAAAGAGAGACGAGCAGAGCCATGGCAGACGCTGCAGAAGGTGGGAAGAGCATTTGCGAGGCCCAGCGAAGATTCACTGATTACAAGACCAAGATGATTACAGTCAGACGCCCTGATGGGACTCGTCCAGCATCCAGAAGGACGACGGGGAAAGTCGTCCACTAGTATTACACGGATCTCTTTGCTAGCCACGTCCTCTCAACGCCATAAAAATTGAAGGAGGATGAATCAATCATTCCGCCGGTAGTGCCTTTTGAAATCCAACATGCTATATCGCCAGTGAAGAACAAAGCAACACGCGGTCCAGACAGGATTAGACCAGAACACTTGAGAAACCTGCCGCCAGTTCTCATCAACACCCTGGCTCGGCTCTTCACTCGCTAGCGTCAAAATGCAAGGTCCCCATACATTGGAAAATCAGCAAGACCGTGTTGTTGTTCAAAAAGGGAGACCTTCACGACATAGGCAATTATCGCCCAATCTGCTTGCTGTCCGTTGTCTATAGACTCTTTACTCGAGTCACCCTGAACAGGATTGACAGAACACTGGACGAAGGACAGCCATGCGAACAAGCAGGGTTCAGAAAAGGATTTAGTACCATGGACCACATCCACACGATCACAAGACTCATTGAAGTTTCGCGAGAGTACAAACAACCATTCTGTCTCACTTTTATCGATCTGAAGAAAGTCTTTGATTCAGTGGAAACAGGAGCGGTTATAGAGGCTCTGGATAACCAGGGCGTCTCTACTCGGTACATAATGATCCTTCGTGAGCTTTCTAAAGATTTTACGACCAAAATATCTCTATTCTACAACAATATCATCATTGACGTAAGAAGAGGGGTTCGACAAGGTGATACAATTTCGCCAAAACTATTCACTGCCACCCTACAAAACGTCATGCGAACAATAGAATGGGACGAAATGGGAGTGAAAATTGACGGTCGACAATTAAACCATCTTCGCTTTGCTGACGATATCGTTCTCATAACACCAAACATCAGCCAAGCGCAACGAATGTTGACCGATTTTGATGACGCCTGTGGAAAGATTGGCCTTCAACTAAATCTAACGAAAACGATGTTCATGAGGAACGGATGGGTTTAGCATACCCCATTCACGCTCAACGGAACGACAATCTCCGAATGTTCCAGTCACGTTTGTCTAGGTCGTGAAATCAACATGATGAACGACCTAGCTCCAGAGCTGAGCAGGAGGAAACGAGCGGCTTGGAAAACGTTCAAGACATCGAAGATGTAGTGAGAAGACAAAGAACATCCGACTCCGTGCCCACCTTTTCGACTCGACAATTGTCCCTGCCCTGACGCATGCAGCAGAAACATGGTCGCTACGTAACCAGGATGAACGATCACTTGTCGTTACTGAAAGCAGTCGAAAGGCCGATGCTAGGAGTATCCCATGTCTTCCAGATCAAAGAAAGGATCTGAAGCTCTGAAGATCGTCAGCAATCGAAGATCGATGACGCCGTTCTACACGCCAGGATATCGAAAATAAGGTGGGCCGCATACGTGATGCGCTTCAACGACTACCGATGGACGACATGCGTTACTGACTGGATTTCTCGGTACATCATGCGCTCTAAGGAAGACCACAGACCCAGTGGTGCAATTTCTTCACGAAAAGGCTAGAAGAAAGATATCATGCTCAGAAAATCTTTAGAGCGAGGAGGACCCACTGGGCTACTCATGCACGCGATAGGGAAAAATGGAAGTGCTGTTGGTGCTTGCCCGAGTCACTCGACGATCAAAGGAACGACAAGTGATACAGGTGATATTAAAATTTGAGCGTGGTCTTAATAGAGCACTCGAAATGAAGGTACAATAATATAAAAATATCAGCCAAAGAGCAATCGAGTGTGAAACACTATAAGTTTGGTGATAATTTCACTTGACTTAGAGTGTTAATCGCTTGTCTTCGCTGGCTCTTAGTGCGGGTATTGAGGATTGGCTAAAAAGACTGAAAGACGACGGGTTCTGTTTGACTGACGAGACTGTAATGTCGAAACATGTGTACCGGGTTGTACAAGAGCCCATAACCAGATCTCATGACATGCTGGCTCGAATAATAATCATGAGATTTACACAATTGCCGTCAAGTGAGATATCATTAGATCGGCATTGCTATACACTTAATTGTTCTTGGTTTTTCTAAAACTTTATACCTTCTCTTTCGAGTGTTCTCTGATGACCACGCTCAAATTTCAATATATCTGATAATTGTTATTTGAACCAACACGTCATGTGGTCTACTGATGATAATGCTCAAATAAAAATCGTGAGATATATTGAATTTTGAGCGTGGTCTCAATAAAACACTCGAAACCAACTATCAATAAAGTTGTTAAATGCTCTTCGAAACAGTTTTCCCTCCAAATCTCAGGAGTCTTCTAATAGGCTGTCCACAGGTCCACTCCTAGCACTAGTTCCTATTTAGTATTGTTTATGAATAATTCCTTTCGCAATAAATCTGACAACATTTTGCTTTCTGAGATCAAAGTGGTTATGTGGATCACGCCTGTAATGAGGCCATAGATCGAGTGCTTAATTTATGAGAGCTCTAACCACTGTCCTACATGAGTTCTGGGAATTCGTCTGATACCTCTTTTTCTGAAAGATATTCACTATATTCAAAAGCAACCCACCAAAGCCGATTTTCGATTCGTTTCGTGTCCACTGAATTGCAATGACACCAACTATATCAAAGACGCCTTCAAAATCTTTGCATGAACAATTGATTATGTGGGCCATTATAATTACATTAACAGTATAGTTTTTTTACAGAAGCACTTCTGAGAAATGATTTCAAATTTGGTCTGTAGTGCTCTATTGGCCGGAGGTTTGAGCTCACCAGAAAACTAAAAAAAAGCCAAAGGAATTTTTCTGGGAGTGTATCGAACGATGGTGCTGGGTTGAACACGTAACATCATTTCATTAGTTGTGTGATAACTGCAGTGCTTTCTGTTGAGAAAACGATCAAGACTTTGACAGAAGAAAACAAGGAAATTCTGGCGTCATCTAGTGACCGTATCACGAAGCTCACTCATCGAGCTAGCGCAGTTTTGTTCTTCTTTTTTTTCTTTTTTTGAGAAAATAACACTTTTTGAAGGACACAAAAACAGCGACGGTAAGTGAAAACATAGGAGAAGATACCACGCAGTCTCGGATAAATGCGATGTGCTTTGAGTAAACACAGTCGAAAAGTTTTTTTCAGACGAAACGCTGCCAAAAGTCCTTTGAGGGACGAGTGGAAGTGGAACTGAGTGCGCACAAATACAGATTGCCACAAAAGATCGCGTGCGTCTCAATGCACCTGCGACCACCTCTAACCACTGCACATACCAATACAATGACATAATCAACAAGAAGAGACCCAGTGTAGAGTGGCATACAAAAATGTTTGCATCAGCTGGGATTCGAACCCAGATATCACATGTTTCAGGAGCGCGTGCTGAGCTGTTGCACTACAAGCTCCCGGAAAAAAAAGAGATCTGTTTTCGAATTCCAGCTGACGGAAACGTTTTTGCACACCAATCCACGTTATTGGGTATACTGTAACATTATAGCACCGCAAATGAAGGTCAAATAAATTGATTTTAATAACAAGACAGTAGGAACTACTCTGAGACAACTCTGCTCCTGATTTTAAAAATTTTCATCTTAGGTCTCATTTTTTCGTTTACTGCTCTTACAGCTATAATAGTCTGTGATGGCTCAAGATCAAGAATTAGCACAGATAGCATTCAAAATTTTTCTCAAATAGAATAATCTGATAAGATATAATATGTTTTGAGCTATTAACTTCTAAGTGCTATACAGGCTCCTGCCTGTTTCATCCTACCGTGACTTATTAGTACCACCTTAATGGACCTAAAATGGCTCAAAACATGTCATATCATTATCAGATTATTATTCAAGCAAGGCCCATAAGAATGTAAAGGTCAAATAAAATCGACGTTTTTCTTTCAGGAGTTTTTATTCAGTTCTTCGATTACCAAGAGAAATATTCAAAAGGGATTTAATCACAACAATATGATTGTATTCTGTGAGAATTACCTGTTACCGCGAAGATTTGGAAAAATGTAGATTGAACAGTTTTTGATTTTGACGAAATGATTACATATAAGAGATATGTATACAATGTAATAGCTAGTGATGAGACGATGAAGTGGCCATCGATAACTGAGTTCCATCTCATCTGAAAATGTGAAACATCTGATAAGGTTTAGCCGACTATCTATTGATAAGCATATAGATCACAACATGGAGAAACATACGACCTAGGCTCATTTGAGGCTATCTACCGCATGAGAAAAAACTTTCGAACTTCCGTTTTGATTACAAAAGCAGTGCCACTTTTTACAATTAGATCACTGCAATGTAAAATGACAATACTTTACTGAAAAGACGCCATCGTTCAGTAGCTAATGTGATATCAACTGCACAAGATGGAATGCCGCCATGGAAGGAATTTTTAGTAGTTCTCTAGTCATCTACCCTCTTCTACAAATGCTAACCCCGATTTAAGCCGCTCTATTCAAGAGTGCTCCTCTAAAAAATATTCATCTCGCTTTTACTTAGAAGAACAACACCGCGAAGACAAAGGGCTATCGACCATCAACGAACGCTAACCAATGCGGCTTTGAAAAAAACCCAGATGTTAGAATGTTGTTATAAGAAATGTTTTGTAATTACGTCGTGTCTGACTACCTAAGCAAGTGTGCCAATCATTTACGCTAATGCTATGTGAAAGTCATTCCAGTAAGTCATTAAGTAATTAAAAACTCACTCATCGGTTCTATGGATTGCTGACTGGGATCGCAATCTAAGCTTATGCGATTTGAGTGACGTTACTTCATGGAGTGCTGCGCGGGTAACAGGTAGATCTTAATCTTACTGGTAATTCTCATGAGAAAAGAGATTTTTCGTGGCTTTGAACTAGCTGAGCAAGTACTTTTTGATCTGTGGCGAGGAAAACTTGCTAGATCTTTGTGTACCAGGAGCAGATTAGCATTACTGCCTGTCAGCAATGGTATGATGTTATAAATACGCATTTAGGAGTACTGAGTGGTATGCAAAACATTTGTTATCTTACGGGAGATGATCCCTTGTTTCACTCAAACCGGCGACGTAAGCCGCCACTGCACCATGGATGTCTCCCTTTATTGACACTCTTTCATTGATATATTACATCGTAGCAGTTAGCAACCAACCTCTAACGTTTGGAAAAGCGCGTACCTGTGCTGATACACGATTACTTCGACTCGTTTTTGTTAGGCAGAAACTACCCTTCAAACTTCATTAATTACGAATCACACATTTTGGCAATTTCGCTAACTTGCTTCCTTTTTGAAAAGCCCTTCTTGTTGTATGATAGCATGAAAATACACTTATGTTTCACACTCGCTCTACCGTGTTTGCTTGGTTGGATTATGTGCTTGGCTTTTCGCAGATTTCTTAGAAGCCATTCGAAGCTTTAATCTGGAGAATTTTGAAGCTACAGTTGGTTTTCGGAAAGGCTTTTACAGAGCGCTGTAAGACTGAAAGGAAGATTACATTCGCGTCATAAATACTTAGTAAATTGTTTGAACTACATAGCGAGTCTAGCAATACTTAAGAATTTAGTTTGTTGATTGGTACTACCTATCGTTGCATAAAGATAAAACATCACTCAGAAACTTTTATAGAGATGATTACAAAAGAAAGAACACCGTTGTGTCAAAAAATTCTCAGCGTTTCCACGAGAAAAACACGCGCTTGGAACAAGAACGTCATTTCCAGCCGTTGTTAACTTTTTTTCTTAAATTTTATCTACGTTTTTGTACTTATTCGATTACAAACAATCTGATTTCAATACTGAGCCTGTTTTTGAAAACACTTTCATAATATGCTCTATTAACGTGAGGAGGATAACATTTTGTCTTCGGTGTTATTAGCGCGATGTTTGAACTTCGCAGTAGGATGCTGGCAGTTATGTAGTAAAATTCAATTTTGGAAAAATTCTATAGCTATAGATAGATAAATGACTATCAAAGGAAAATCTATAAGCGTATTTAGCACAGTGATTGCCCTTACTTCCGAAAAAACTTTACTTTCAAACACGAAGGCTGGTCCTAATGTTAACAATGCATTCTCAACTCTGTTTTTACCTTTCTTTCGATGATATTATAAGAGTTTATCCGGAGACAGAGTACATTCCGTTGTTGGGCAGACATTCTCCAGAAAAGAATTCTATGCCGAACAAAGTCTTTCCACTTATTACTGCAAACCATTCGAAAGCTTGAATCTTAAACTACTCAGAAATTTATTTTTCTCTGAAGGGCCAGTGCTTGCCCATTATAAGGCGACAAATGAAACCTGGATTTCATTCGCAAGATTCTTATATGAGTGTTAGTGATTATTTAGAAGCTTGAATCTATGGCTAGCGTTGTATGTGGCCGCTATTCCAAGACACCTTTTTATCACGCTGTAGAATTCAAAGAAAATTATGCTTCACACCGGCTGCGCATTATGCTAACAGCTATTCATAATCAATCTAAAAACATTCTATGAGAAAGTTCGAAACTTTTTTTCGAGGTTGGTACTTCAATGTTTTACATATGTTTTGGCGACATCGCCCGCTTAGCTGAATGCATATATGTGCTTATCTGGCAAAACCCTTTAGAGATTGGTTGCTCACTGCTGTGGTAGTTTATATCGAAAAAAGTGGTGGCATCGGTAGTGCAAAGGCAGCGCTTGCCTCCGGTAGTGTTAAAGCAGAGGCCTGCCTCCCGTCTGCTGTCGAATATTTTGCATGCCACTCGTCAATTTTAGATATCTATACTAGTGAAACTGAAAGATTTAATGCGAATGCAGCGATTTCGAGAAGGCTCAGTGTGTCAACACTCATTCCAGCTTCAAGATGAGGTTTTTAAGAAAATGGTATCTAATCTTAGACTCAAACTATTAGGTGTCTTCTTGCATTATCGAAGATAATCTGAATGTGGCATTCCATAAAGCGATCGATATTGACTGTCGGAGGGTGATAGAGGGTGGGAATCAGTCTCGCTCAAAACAATATAATCTGATGACATATCTTGAGCCTTTCATGCGGTCCCTTATAGCACTTATACACGAGCAATCGCGTGTGCAACACTGACCGTTCGATAATTTTATCGCTTGACAGCGCGTTTGAGTATTTCGGTGCAGGCTTCTCTTAGAAGAAGATATGGCCTCGCGGAACCGGCTGAATCGAAAAGTTCCGTGATACTGACGGGGCTGTGATACCGAACCACGCATCTTGCACTGGACAAGTGGCAAAACAGAGCTCATGAAAAGCTGAAAATATGCTATCAGATTATATGTAGACATAGCTGGGAAAGCCAGTTCGATGCCGTGGTTGAGAAGTTGTGATGCTCGTCGAGGCATGATGCGGACTATTCCTCACTTCCCCGCTCCTCCCCTTTTCTTTCCCTCCCTAAAACTCTCCGTCAGTCAGTGTTGAACGTCTCATGGAGCACCAAATTCAGACTATCTTCAAGAGTGCAGGAAGATGTGCACGACTAGTATTATACGACGTTCATGAAGAAGATAAAGACGAAATGATTTCTGCAAGCACTGTTATCCACAGAGTGGAAAAAACGTAAAAAAGGTTCAAAATAAATAAATGAATAAATGCCATTATTCAAAAAGTAACAATTTTCAACTTTACTTAGTAGTTTGAGAATGAGATTTTTCACCATCTTGTTATAAAACTTCTTCCTAAGGTTGGAATGAACGTTGACGCGCTGACACCTTTCAAAATCGTTGTATTTGAATGGAATCTATCTATATCGTTAGAATAGACATCTAAAATTGATGAATGTTATGTAGAAAACTCGACATCAGGTGGGAGCTTAACCTCTGCTTCAGTGCTACCGGAGGCGAGTGCAACCTTTGCACTACCGACTCCACCACTTTTTCGATATCAATACCGTAGTAGTAAAAAACAATCTATTACGGATTATACATGCATTAAGCCCAGCTATGCTGACAACTATCATAATGGATCTAAAAGCATTCTCTGAAATTATTTTAATTTTTTTGAGGTTGGTATCTCATTGTTTTACATACTTTTTGGGCATCGCTCGCTTCATCTGTGTCACACACCCCAACTGAACTTTACTTTATAGCAGGGATGGAGAGAAGATGAAGCGATGAAGAGCACGATACCGCCGAAACGTACGTAAGCCATTGACCACACAAAATCAAATCAAAAGACTGTGAAGATTCTCACAGTCTATATTGAATGGTTATAGCGAGGTTTTGAAACAGTCTAGTGGAAGAATGTTCAAATAAAATCTTCAATTTTTGTGCTTTTTGGTAGCCACTACCATGATAAATGATATACATTTATATGCTAAACGGCGACTAGTTGCCTTCTTCCGGAATACAATGAGGTTGGCGATGAAGGAATTCTTTAGTCACTTCCGACCTGGTTGTCTTTAAATTTGT